ACGAGGAAAATTACAATAATGAGGAATAACAACAAGAGTACAGCAAGAATTACAGCAATGGTAGTTTCCGTAGAAAGGAACAACACATTCAGACAATAAGAATGGGAACGATAACACCATCAATATCAACAACTATAAAATAAAATAAAATAAACCAACATCGAAAATAAGTAAAAGAGAGAAAACTAAATAAATAAATAATTTCCTAATCATACTGCCACTCCACACCAGACATGGAATGACGAAAAGAAAGAAAAAAACGAAAATTACAAATAGACACGATACTCACCACATGAGGGATCTCCGCCATCCTGACGTAGGTCTCGAGCTTGACGACGAAGGGGGACAGACTCGGGCAGAAGAATCCCCGGGGCGGAATGTGCAGGACCACCACGTCCTTGCCGGCGTTGTTCCACCTCCTCCTGCGAGAAACGGACCTTCGTTCAGGGGTGCTGCACTTCTTAGGATATGGAACCTCTGGGGGTTGGCTTATTTTCATTAGGATTATTACTATCATTTCTTCATTTTTGGTGCATTGAAAAAAATATTCGTAACAATTTTGAGATCAAATATGATGTTCAGATTTTCCTATATCGAGATCTCAGAAAAATTGAATTATCTTCACTGTCTTCCTTTGCTTATATCTAATTCTTTGCTACTTTTACGGGGACACTTTTCTTAACATTCGAATAAAAAATAAATAAATGACTATGCAGTATACAGACACACTCACAGATGGGTAAAAATCGGGAGACAGATATATGAGAAAGTTAGCAGACAGATAAAACTTTTAGAAACAAAAAAAAAATAATAATAATAAGTGAATAAAAAACTGTCAAATAACTGCACCGATGAAAATAAATATCTACCAAAAAAATCTCACCTCCTCTCCTGCTTCTTCATGTAGCTTCGTATTTTCATGACACCAACCACCACCACCACAGTTATGGTGACGGGCTTGTTCTTGCCCCAGAGCAGTCTCAGGGCCCTGCCGGCGAAGCGAGCGGGCAGCCAGACGTCCTGGACATTTTGCAGCATATTTCTGCCCTTGGTAAAAGAAAAAAAAGAAAAAGAAAGAAAAAAAAGGTAATTGTATATTCACTTTCCTATAAATATACAATTTATATAGCCATATCTATCTGCCTATCTATCTATCTGAATACATAACCACGCACTGATAATAATAATGATAACTAAAAGCACTCAGACAGTGTATACCTCCGCGAGGGTAATAGGGTCACTGATGCAAGAAAAATATTCACACTTAATATATCACATTGAAATCACCTCTTTTTCAAGTAGACTGGTGACATCAGTAAACCGAGGAAATAGAAGTAACGATAATGATAATAGTTACCCCTTTATATAGGGTTAACCGATGCAATCACGAAAAAAATCTTGGATCCGGATTACCACCAAAATTTAACGGCATCTAAGTTAGGTTAAGTCACACCTCGGGTAAAAAAATCATAAAAATCTGTTCTTAACTTTTTTGAGTTGCATTTGCAATAGGGGTACCTCATGTAATCATAAAACAATTCTTGGATCCGGATGATGATCTGGATCACCACCAAAATGTAAGTGCAACTAAGTTAGGCTAAGTTATCCTTCCCCGTATATAAGGTTAACCGTAATTCTGCAATCCCTTGAAAAAAAAAAAATCCTGGATGCGGATCACCACCAAAATTTAATGGCAAGTTAGGTTAAGACACACCTCTGGTAATAAATTTCATAAATATCTATTCATATATTTTTTAGTTATCCTGTTTACAATCTAACGCTACGAAAAACATAACCTCTTTGGCGGAGTTATAAAGTTACCAGAAACAGCGATACTAGTAACATAAGCAATAAAGGTAATGGCGATGCTAAAATTAATGGTGATCGTAACAATGGGGACAGCCATAGTAATGCGAATAATATTAATATAAGAAAAGTAACAATTATAACAATAAATTGCCTCGCATGCAAAACTGAGGCATCCATATCGGTATAATGTTGCTTCTGTGGAGTGTGTTATCAGTGTTTTTCAAATGATAATCTAATGCTTGAGTTCAGCTGAAATACAAGCCAAATTTAAGGTCCCTGCAGCTATTCTATTTTCCCCCGTAATTTTAACATCAAACTCAAGTGCTTGATAAAGCAAGTGAAATACAATTATTTCACTTTCTGCCAGCTCCCACAATCAGTAAAGTGCCGCAGTATTTTGTATAAAAACGAGAAAATACGATAAATATACATTCAGTAGCAGTAAACAAGTAGTTTAAGTTATCTCTCTAATGCCATTCTCCTCACGCATTCATGGGGAGGACATCTATATATTTTTTTAATCTCTAATAAATACAAATAAAGTGGTTAAAATATGTCTTATTGACACGTTTCAACTCGTATGATCTTATCAATAATCCGAAGAAATTGATGTTAAAGTGCATTCTCTAAATCAAAAATTTGTGCGACTACAGCACTTACCTTGACGGTGATTTCACACAACTACCCCCGTTTTCTCTGCGCGTAAATGTGGTTTGCGTTATACTACACGTTGGCAACTCTTGTAATCTTACCAGAACACGACGCTCAATTATCCTTATGTATTTTAGCGATTTATAAATGATTCACGTGTCTTTTCCTTGAGTAAATCATTATGAAGTTCGATAACATGAACAGTAAAATCGACAATAAGCATACTTCAACCAGTTTTATAGTTTGGTGGTTTTAAAGGTTGTTGATTTAAGGTACAATCGAGCTGCCTTACCGTGACTTGCATTTCCACAATTACCGTCACTACAGTGGGTAGAATTACATACCTAAATGAGTCAAACGCTTTTTATATAAGTACAAAGCGAAACCTCTTCAATAGTGCTATTTTTTCCGTTATTTCTTAATATACATAACACAATGTATTTTCTCAACAACAATAACTAATGCTATCATTACGATTAATATTATTGTGTGTTGTGGTTGTTACCATTGGCATCATCGTTATTACAACTACCAAGATGAACTTTAACAATATGATTACTACCATTTTGGTATTATAATCATTAACATTATCATCATTAAAGTTATTGTTATTAGTGTTTATATCGCCAATAGCATCATTATCATTATTATTTTTTCAGTCAATATTGATATTTTATCATTATTATCATTATTTTTGTTACTATTGCTGTCATTACCATTATCATATTCTGCAACCTTTGGAATCAAATACAAACTGTTACGTATTTGTAAACAGAAGGTAGACTCCGCCCTTTAAACATTATCATTATTGTAATTATGATTGTCATTATAAGATCATTATGATATTGAAAATAACGATAATGGTTGCAATAAGGATATTCCTAATCACAGTAATAACAATAACGACAAAGTAGCAGTACTGCTATTAGTAATAATGATAATGAAAAATAATAATAAAAATAACTATAATGATAATGATAAGACATTAAATATCAACATCATTGTCATCATTATTACTTATCACTATTACTACTATTACTGCTATTATTATTGCTATTACTGCTGTTGTTATTATCATTATCATTATTATATATTATTGTTATTGTTATCATTCTTACTATTTTTGTTATCATTATCAACATTATTGTGAATATTATTACTACTACTATTGTGAATATTATTATTACTACTAAATAAAGTACATACCAGCATTGGTAATTCAGATTTGCGCATTATAACTTAGCATGATTACTCCTTTTACGTTAATGTAAGTTAATGCAATCACATTCTTGTTACTATTGCTGTCATTACCATTATCATATTCTGCAACCTTTGGAATCAAATACAAACTGTTACGTATTTGTAAACAGAAGGTAGACTCCGCCCTTTCGACAATATGCATCGTTGCAGTAACCGTTATGAATGAAAAGTGATATGTAATCATTACATTACATTTTCTTTTGTTTGTTTGTTTGTTTATGTATCGATAACTAGGATTTATTTATGTTACTATTGTTTTTTGTTATCGTTTAGTGTGACATATTGGGAAATCTGACTGGGAATCAATACTTTCAAAATGCAACGACTGCTAGAAATTAATTGCCTTTCTCATAATTAATTCTACATCATGCACTTCGGAATTATTCATTCCCATTCATAGCTGTATTTAAACGTTACTGATTTTTTTTTTTATTATGGCGGGAAAAGAAGTTGAAATTCTGAAGGCGCACCTGAGAGGCGGTCAGGGCGCTTACACTATAAACACGATGACAAACTGCCGTGCGGTCATGGGTCTGTTGTATCTTAAATCCTCTCAGTGGATTAATGTCGGATTAAAGAGCTAAATCGCACTGTTATATTTACAGGCGGAAGCGAAGAATGTTTTCGTTTTTTTTTTTTTAATGCAACGTAGCTACATGTTTAGATGAACTTGATACTTTTTTTGTAATTGTGTACACCTCTTTCAGATATTGACGATATATCAACCCATCCATAGACTCATATCCCATATCTATACATCCAACCATATGCGTACATGCATCTTCGATATTAAAACTACATGAATAGCAAATCTTGATAGAATAAAAGTGTTTTCCCTTAATCAGACAAGATAAATTTATGTTGAAGAAAACAGAATAGACAAGTAAAGCCAAGATTCCATAAGAACTCAGGCTTCCAGATTCCAAACAAATTGTTTGGTGTCTTTTTCCGTTATTAATGCATGATGCAAACAGTTAGCATTGGTTTCGCAAGTGAAGGTACGTGTGTGGGTGTGTGAGTGGGTATATATATATATATATATATATATATATATATATATATATATATATATATATATATATATATATATATATACATATATATATATAATATGATATATATATATATATATATTATATATGTATATATATATATATATATATATATATATATATATATATATATATATATATATATATATATATATATATAACGTGTGTGCGTGTGTGCTGTATATATGTATATATACCCCACACCTATGATAAATAAGTATAATATAT